ATTACGTAGTTCACTATTTGGAATAAATCTTGAATTTATAATATCTACACTTTCAAAATATTTTCCAATATCATCTATTGAACATAAATTTTGTACAATAGAATATTTTTCTTCTTGATTTTCAATCAAATTAAATATTTCTGTACTTATATTATCTTCCGCTACATATCTTCTTGAAGAATCATTTGCCAATATATGATAAAATGGTTGTGATGCACCTCGTAATAAATTTGAAATTCCCATACGAACTTGCCATAATTTTGAAGCCATACAAATTAAATCCCATCCACATATTACACCCCAATAATTATATTGTTTATGTTGAAATATTTGTCCAGCATAATATTTTGGAAGAGAATTTATTCGTCGTTTTTCTTCAATTGGTAAAGGATTTAAATCTTGATTTCGTATTTCAAGAAGATCATCATTCATTGTTGTCATTGAAGATGATAGAATTTCAAAAAAATGTATATCCATAGGAAAATGTTCTTTTATAATATTCATTACTGAATTAAAAGCAAATGGTAATGCACCACCACCTAAAATTTTAAGAATTGATACAGCAGCATATAGACCATAGGAATTAAGTGATGATGTTGTATATCTACTTATACTATTTATTATATTTCGAGCTGATCGAATAATTAATTCAATAATTGGTGTTATAGATAATGGATATGTTAAAGGTCTATCAAGAACATCAGCTAGACGTATATTTATTTCATTAAGAGTTATAATTTTACCATCAAAAACACTTATTATTAATGGTATTGCATTATTTAATGGTTGTTCTACTTGTGCCATAACTTCACCAGGAAAACCAATTGGTCGAGCTATTAAATTACATTCATCAGCTAATGCACAAAATATTGCAACAAGTGTTAATGGAATAGTTGATTTACCATGAAATGTTGCAAAAAGAAATGAATTTTCTAAATCATAATATTCACTACCACCATTTGCAGAAAGAAATTTTTCTTTTTTCATTGTCGTGAGAATTAATTCACATTTTTCATTTATAGTAAGTGTTGAAAATATAGGATCATTAATAAGACATTGTCCAATTAAATGAAGACGATTTAATGAAAGAAAAATACCATATGGATGAAAACATTGAATAATAAATAAAGCATTTATTAAAGCTTTTCCTTCTGTAGAAATTTCTGTTCGATTTTTCATATCATTTAATAGAGTTAATCCAATATTTCGAGATATAAGTCGAGCTATATCTAATGAATAATATTCACGAGTAAGATTACGTAAAGTAAAATTTATCGAAGTATCTAATTGTTTAGATATGTCAATAGAAGGTGAAAAATAATGTTTAAGAACATCAAAAGCCAAAAGACCATATGTTGATAAAATAAGTTCAGCATTATAAATTCCTAAATTATTTGAAATATCAATTAGATATAGAAAAAAAAAACAAGCAAATCGATGCATTTTAGAATAACATTTCAAAGAAATATCATCTATATATAAATTACTTACGTTTTGTTCGAGTAGATATAATTTCATTGAGAAGAAATCGAATATGTTTATCTTGAAGTGCTCGTTGTATAAAATATTCTTGCCATGTACAATCATCAGGAGGTTCAGTAACTTTGAGAGCAGAACTGGGCAAATATTCTTCATCAGAATACTGAATTGAATTAGTTGAATATTTATACCTGAAAGAGAAAGTTTTAATATGTAATTAGAATAACATCATTGTTTGAATTTGAGAAATAATTTTCTTCAACAATTATTTACTACACTTTTATTCGTATTTTTAGAATCGGATATGAAAAACTGAAGTAATAAACCTAATCAAAATTGTAAGGCTTCTATCGATCAACATAATCAATTATTATGATATGATGAAAAAGATCTATAATTTCAATTCTTTATTTAATCAATAGTCTTTTTTTTTTGTTCTTCTTTGAAATATAACAATTGAGTACCTTTTTCGGAAATATTGCTGCCATATTTTATCATCACGTGTAATTATATTCATTCGATGGCATGTCTGTGCCAAAGCAGATGTATCTTCTGGAGAAAGATAAGCAAGAATAGGTCGAAATAATTCTGGTGGAAGACTTTCAATTGGTGAAGTCATCGTGAAGAAATTACATATAGAATGCAAAAACAAAAACAAAAAAAAAAAACAAGAAGCGTCTATGTTGAACATTTGAAATATTTCATAAATTTTTCGACAACTATTTTTCAATCACTGATAAATTTTATGCTTATCAATCATCTTTTATATCAATTTAGAGAAAAATGCCAAAAGTACTAGTGCTAACATTGAAATACCGTTGAAAAACTTCAAGCATTGATAGAACAAACAATGTGTTGTATTTGATTATTCTTCAATTGATATCATAATACAATGAATTTGTTTGATATTTTCAGATTCTGTTTCCTTTAAAGATCTACAAAGCCATGCTAAATCTTCTTGACTTTTGTAAAACCATTTAGTCTATCTTTCAATCGTTCTAAGTGCCGAAACCGTATGAACTTCCATGTAGAAGCAAATATTCTTATCATCTATCTAAAATAATGATGAATAGCTTTTATTGAACGTTAATTATTGTAATATTAATTGAAAAATAAAGAAATATCGATGATATTTTGTGCTATATTCCTTCGAGTTTTTTGTACGATATTTCCATTACTTTAAAGATGTCTTCATTGTTAATAATTTTGCTTTATATTTGAATTTTAAGAACTTATATTACAGCTACCCAATTTTTTTGCACCAAATAATAAAACGCATAAGTATACGTATCGTTCTGTATCTGACAGCTGATCGTAGCCATAAGGGTTATACTTAGGTCTCTATGCATTTTCAAGTTAAATAGACTTTGTAGAAGAAGAATAACATTAACAATATCTAAATTTTCGATAATTTAATATAAGTTATGTAAATAGCTTTTTTTCTTGATAATAATTCCATGGAAATTTTTGGGTAAATAATGGATAACAAAGTAACAGTTTAAATCTTTTTGGAAAAATTCATAGTTTCTATTGTCCTTTGTAACATTTGTATCTCGACTTGGTTTCAATCAAAAGGAAAATCCTTTTAACGTGATGTCAGTAAACCAGTCCCTGGTCTTGGGCATTCCTAAAAAAATACTCCATTTTTTTGATAGTCAGGCAAAATGCAGCAAATTTTTGTCACGGAAAGGTGTTTTTTGCGTACTTCTTTCTCAATAGTGCGACAAAACTCTATGAAACCTTTCCAATATAATTTTTCTATTTAAGATACTAATGAAATTCATAAAATATGAGATGAACTTGATTGGTAGGTGTGAACAAAAGAAAAGTCAGCACGGAGTTCCGACCTCTCTTTCTTGACAGAAGGGTGTGAGTTCGTGAGTAAGTATGTGCGTGTGACAGTTTTATCTCTTCAGTCACAAACCTATATCCACATTCAACAAGTTCAATAGCCAAATCCTAGAATTTTGATTGAAACTTGTCGGTTGTGGTCTGTGTGGACTATATAGTTCATATATTCTAATATAAGGATACGCGTTCAAACATTAACCAGTCTTTAGTTGGTACACTGCTCTTCCATTTCTTTTGAAAAAACAAAAAATGAAAATCTTTCTATTATTATCTGTTAATGTCTGTGTTGATCTTCACTGAACTCTAATCATTCTCAAAATAGTATCAAGTGTGTTTGGCAAGCATAATCGAGATCTTGTTAATAACAACATTAATAATCATTAAGTAACAGAACACCTTCTATAGCCATCGACATAATTGTTAAAGGCACTGAAACTATGATCACAGCTTGCAGGAACGATGAACTGGAAGCTGTTGCATACCTTGTCATATCAGTTGTGGAGAAAAGAACAAGGAAAGACAGAAGAAAAAAAACAGAATACTTCATTCTGTCACATTACTTTCTGCTTCGTCATCATTACATGAATTTGCTTCAATGTTGTATAGCTTTGCTTTTTTTGCCTTGTCATCATCAGCAATTCAAGAGTCCATATAAACAGTTGTTGCCAGATGAAACGATTATTCTCATTTTTCTTGATCAGTTGAAGAACACGGTACAAATTAGTGACTAGAATTGGAAAATGACTCGTCTACCCGTCTTATTTGTCACTCATGGAGCATAAGTCTTACTCTTAATCTGATATATTCATATGGAGTGTATTGAGAAGAAAGCTTCAGTTATTCAACAACTCGTCAATGTTTTGAAATTTTATTTATAATGATCAAAATCAAAGTGTCATGAATTATAATAAAACTTGAGGGTTCTAAAGTAAACAAATCTAATCTCTTTCTTGCACGCTCATTTCCTATTAGAAACAGGTAGACGCAAAACTATGCACTGTCTTCAGTCCGAATGTAAGAATCTAATTAATTCATTTTCCTTGGTTTTATGATAGGGAGAAAAGGATTTGGAATACACTGATCAGTAGAGAGTTATCGAATATTTGAATCTTTCTTGATTTAGAATTTATAGTGTGAAAGGTTTTAGGGAGAAGTATGAAGAATAAGTGACTTCTATTGATCGATATAGAGTTCAAGATAGATGGCTGAAAAGAACTGTAGCATAGATGGACTACTGATGTTAAAATCATGATATCTTTTTAAGTGGTCCTATGATGTTTCTGGAATCATCAAAGAAACAAGTTCCGAACAATTTCGATAAGCACAGTCCTGCTGCAAAATGGTTTCGTCAATTGTACAGTCAACTGTCATTGCAACGGTCACCTAAAGCTGTTCTTATTATCAGTGCTCACTAGGAAACAACACATGCAGTTCACATTTCAGCTCAAACACAACATACTAAACTTTTCTATGATTACTAAGGCTTTCCACCTGACGCATATCAAATCGAATTCAAGCCAGCTGGACATTCGGGAGTGGCTGAACGAGTTAAATTGTTACTTGAGAAATCGTCTATACCTTGTAAATTGGACGCCAAACGAAATCTTGATCATGGTGTGTTCGTTCCGCTGAAATTGATCTTTCCGAACGCAGACATTCCCGTTGTATCCATGTCGATTCTCAGTTCGCTATCACCGGCCGAACATTTGTTAATTGGAAAGGCATTGGCTCCACTTCGAAACGAAAATGTCCTCATTATTGGTTCTGGTTCAACGATCCATGGATTTAAGGAAGATGAGGGACAGTCAAGTCAATTTGGGGATGCTCTTATTCGAGCTATGACAGAGTGCGACGAACACGAACGCGAACATATACTTCTCAATTGGGAACAAATGTTGCCACATGCTCGTGTTAATCATCCTCACGAAGAACACTTAATTCCACTTCACGTTATTGTCGGTGCGGCCGGTGCAGATCGAGGTCAGATATGTAACCCAAGCGTAACTAAACTACAAGCGGCATTTCAGTTTGGGATTTAAATAACATTGCTCATTTTTTCATTCATGTGAATCTCCTCGATCAATCACGTTTCGCCTCTTTTCAAATATAATCTCAATGTATAGCACATTTCCATTTGCATAAACAATATACGAATGACTTTACGTCCATTGCCAGATATTGATGATGAGGGATGTTGCGACAAAAAACTATCGTCACTGATAATCAGCGATGAATACATGAGTACCACTATTATTGGATGGAAAATCGATCCATTATGGTTCGCTTGATTTAAAAAACATAGAAAAGTTCAATCAAAAGGATCTTGAGAAGCGTCTAGCAATAGGTACCAGCATGAATCTCTCCCGACAAGAGTCTCATTTAGAAGTCGTAAGAATCCTTTCTATTGTTTCCTATGGTCAGATTCAAGCACCTGATCACAATGTCACTATGAATTTCAGCAGTTCTGTTGGAAAATTGTGTTTTTTTTTTCAAGTTCAGATGAGTTAGACACACTAGAGTGGCGCCAAACGTCGCTCATGATTTGACTCAGATTGAGGGATTTTACGTTGGATTTCTTGTTTTATATGCAAAGACAATTTTCGATGAAAAAGTAGATTTCGGGGAGATTTACAAATGAACGAACGGAGGCTTAGCCGAATTCATGATCACTGTTTCTAATAATGATGACTGATCACATGAAAGAAGATGAAAAGAGTTGAGTCAAGATACATCAGAAACACAAATTTCAATTTCGTCCCCGAAATCAAAACAAAAGATATGTTCGAAGCACGAATCCAATGGATGGTAAAGAATTGTAAGTTAAGAGTTAGTGACAAGTATTAGCAATAGGATCAATCACAAAAGCTTAATTCAATCATTGAGTGATGATGGATCGAATATGAATTGAATGTTGGATAATGGAGCTGGGTACCATCTTGACACGATCTACTAGATGCTCGATTGATCGATAATCAACTTATTTGATTAAATTGACCTTCACTGAACAAGTTTCTAAGAACATCAAAGTTTTCTTTTTCTCACAATCTAGAAACGATTTGACACAAGTTTGTTAATGTTGGTGTGAGTGTTCATATGGAATGTGCATAAAAATATCGGTTTTCTCTTCACAACTAGCTTTACATCTTCATCTACACCCTTGGAAAAGTATCTTCGAACTTACAAAGATTTTGTCTATATCAGGCAAATTTTATTGGCGTAATTAGCCTCTAATTATTGATTTTTCATCAAGAAAAAAACCAAAACAGAAGGTCATCTCATCGATGTTTCATGAAATTTTAACACGAAGATGTCTCTCGAATTCAATATGTTCGAAGTTGTAAACATGGCAATTGTCAGTCGCCGAACGATGCCTTCTCTTAAGTCCAATGTCAGTCGTTTCTCCATTTGAACATTTAGACTTCCTAATGATACTATTGTTCTCATGCACCCGTCATTATATTGATTCGCTTGCGGAATTAATAACTCAATCCATATCTTCTTTATCTGGCTTCCATCGATCATTGTTTTGTGAGTCCTTACAATACTGAATACCATTGTCACTATTTGAACTATTGCTTTGGATGTCCTTTTAGAATCATCAAAATCAACGTTCGCATTGATCTATCGACTGAAATCATTGTCTCTCCTTGTTGACAAATAAAGAAATTGAAAGATTTACTGTTTCAGTGAAAGAAAAACAATAATAATTATAACGTGACACGAAATAAAGAAGAAATTTTAGCACACGTTTTATACACTATATTCTTTCGATTAAAAGGAAAGTAATTTCATCTTCTTAAATCGATATTAGTGAAGATAAATTACGAAAGAACCGAAAAATAAATGAGTCGTGCGATTTATAACTATACGCGTACAATACATGTACGAAGAACATGCTCGGTGAAGTGTGGGATAGAAGATTCATATCGTTTAAATATATACATTACGATAAAAGAATGACACAATCAGTTTGCGAATAGTCAACGTGGAGTGTATTTTTATGCGACCTTACACTATTTTTATCTTGCTTTTTTCATCCTCCTTCATCACTTATCTTCAAATAAGTCGACGGACATCATCGAACAATTATCAATCGTTAGACTGTACACAAATATGTCCTTATAGAAGCAATCTAACACGTACTCATCTCGAATTTGATTCGAAACACTTCATTCGACATGATTCTGAGTTTGTTTGTCAACGAAATTTTCGTAATCTAGCCGATTGGGTCTATGGTTGGCCCAGTCAATTCCAAGAATATGTTGATGTGACAACTACAAATGGACAACATATTGCTCCTTGTTTACCGCATGGTAGTATAATCTATGTTAGTATTTGGTCGATCGGAACTTTTTTTAGTCAAGTTTATCCACATTTAATCAATAATTTTGTTTTGATTACGGGTGAAGGTGATGTAGTCTCACCAGATATAGCTTATTTAGAACGAGCTGATTCTAAAATTATTCATTGGTTTGGTCAAAATGGAAATATTGATGCTTCAAGAAGCAAAAAATTCACACATATTCCAATTGGTAAGATTTAGATAAGTAGGTGATGATAGTTTTTGCATTCTTTGCTTTATTTGTGATATGCGAAACACAAATCACTAAAAAATTCACTGGTAACACTCTTAAACTCGGAATATTTTTAAAATCAAGTTTTTGACTAGATAGAGACTTTCTTCGAATGTATAAAAGAAATACTATTTGATAAAAAAAATACATTTTTGACAAATATTCATTAAAAAACAAGTTTTTTTTGGTATAAGTAAGGATGAGAGTCTTCACACTGCGTCCATAGATACGCTTCAATTTTATCTCTTCCTAGTATTGCTTAGTCAATGTGCATTATAAGTCTTATTTTTTGAAATTTTAATATTAGGGATTCAATGTTACGAGATGAGCGAAGCAATTAGAGATATTTATAAGCAACAAAACCATCATAAATTGCCTCCAATCTATGGTGATATCGATGAACCATCACATTATATTCAACCCATTGATATGACTCATCGAGCATTGAATCAGAAGCACAATCTTCATGGGAAAAATCTTTTATTAATTAATTTTCATTTAGCAACTGATGGAACAGGGCTTCGTCGACGTATTTGGACAAAGATGTGTCCAAAAAAGAATCGAGTTCCATTTGCAACATGCCTGAAAAAAACGTCCGGTGTCGATATGTCACATCTTTCGTATATCTATTCACGAAATCGTGAATATGCGTTCTGGTTATCACCACGCGGAAATGGAATCGATTGTCATCGTACATGGGAAGCATTGTATCTTGATGCTATACCAATCGTTTGGAATTCATCATTAAATATTCTCTATGAAGATTTACCTGTTATAATTATTCAAAATGATACAGAAATCACTGAAACGTTTTTACGTGAGAAACTACATGAAATATCAATGAAAAAATATCATCAAATGAATCAAGTGTATCGATTTGAAAAGTTACGAAATGCTTATTGGCGTCGTTTAATTTTGAGTAAATCGAGACATTCGTTGACAAATAACAATATACGAATTAATCAATGCTGGCGAGCTAGAACTTCAACGAAATCTTTTCCATTGTCGTGGCTTTTTTAAGAAAGAAAAATAATCGGTTGTGTGAATGTATGTTCAAATCAAATAATAGAAAAAATATTCAATAGAAAGGTCAATAAACAGCAAAGTTTCATGGATCTCACTTCGCTCAACAGAAAAAAAGACATCGCACAGATGAGATTGCTTCAACTCTATGACAACAGACTAAAAGAGTGTAAATCTCTCTATCACAGCTCAAAATATTACTTGATAGAGAAAAAATATCGTATTTCATTTCTTTCGATTAAAACTAATGATTAAACGTTAGCCACGTTGATGGATGGCAAAATATATTTCATAAAAAAAACCATCAGTTCCTTTTAGATAAAAATTTACATATATAATACTGTTTGATCAATGATCACATCAATCCTTCGATTCAAACCACGAAACATATATCATAAATTATGCATATGGATATATGCGGACTTCTCACTATAATTCGAGTAAAATTGTTCTATGCCACTAAGTAGGTGTTATATATAGCTGGAAATAATTCTAAGAATAACTAATCGTTCTTATGAGATTTTCGATCGATACAAAGGTAGTAACAGTTGTTTTCGCACAGATGAGCTGAGTCAGTCCAGTTCGATTTTATTCTACACGACTAACGTTGTTTAAAGCTCACATTCTTATATTCAGGCTCAAAGATCGAACTGCACAGAATTATGCAGTCGATGAAAATCAGGAAACTAGATTTATCGGATATTGATCAATTAACTCATGTCATCATCGTGCATTTTTCTATCGATTAAGATGTGCTCTGCTTCTTTTTTTCTCCTCATATTTCATTCTCATATTATCTCAATTACTGCAAACCAATCGATACCATATGTCATTCATACCTTAAATAATTAATATTTCTTAACTAATTTTCGAACTGGATTAATAGATTATATCTTGAGAGATCATTTAATGCTATTACAGTAAATTTTTCGTTAGTCCCGATTTAAGTACAAAAGAAATAAATACAATCACTGATAGTAGAAAAAAATGAGATTTTCAAATTGTTTCGCTCATTCAATAGACTATTTATCAATAATATTGTTGAATGATATGCACATTTTCATCATTATGTTAGGCGTTCATTTTTATGATGTTCATAATGATTAATATAAAAATATTTATTTTCTTCTTTGAGATATCATCTAATATCACAAGCAAACAATACCTGAAAGAAAAATTAAAGCGAAATATTATTTTATGAATTTAATTTAATTTGTGCCTCCGTTTTTTCTATTAGCTTGTTATGCTTAAACAACAATGATAATAAATGAAATAAAAACTAAAAATACGAAGAAGCAAAAAAGACAGTTAGTTTCTTTTTTCCTGGGTAAACACAGAATTTGACAACACAAAGAGTGATATTATCTTATGAAAGAGAAATCCAGTGATGACAATAATAGTTTATGTGAAAATCGCATATGAGATGTGGGGCGGAAACAAATAATCGACAAACGATGTTGATTGCACTAATTTGTTTGCTTTGGATACAATTATTTATAAGTTAATAAGTAAACAATGAGTTGGAGGCGTCAAAGATGGACAAATGAATGTTTTTGACTTTTGTAAATAATATAACCGAAAAAATAGTGTTGCATCCTCAAACACAGAGGAAACTTTTTTTTTGTTAAATTGAATCTACATTTAATGCGTAACAATAGTCACAATATCATGAAAAGAAAAATTTTGTCATATTCAATAAGATTTGAGTCAGATATTGACGAAATACTGGTAACATGATTCAGAAGGATCACTCTCCAAATAAGTCTAAATTAGTGAAGCACAGGAAATCTGTCGAATTAAATCTCAACAATGAAGCGACTTCTGCATGGGTGTCAAAGTATTTGCTCTATGCACATTTGTCAGACGTGACTTGATTGAAAAAGAAATACAATTACTTAGTGACACAAGAAATGAAATTCTCTAAGTTTTATTTATCTGATAGATTCTTTATCAACGATAATGTTGAATAAAATGCATATTTGCACTCTCTTTCTGATGCAAATCAACTTTGAATACTTCAAGGCATTTTCAATATGTTGTGCATTTGTTAATATGGCGTCCATGATGATTAATATCAAAGTATTTGTTTTCTTCTTTCCATACATAATACGTATAACGTGAGAATGATATTCGGAAAAAAGTGAGCATCTAAATTCAATATTTTCTTTAAGATTTAAGTGCATATATATCTTCATCTCTCCTTCTTATATTTGCTATGATTAGCGAAGTACAATGATATATATATATATAATAGAAGTATTGTTATATCGATTAGAGAAATACGAACAAGTAAAAAAAGGTAATTACTTCATTTGTCTTTCGTACAGACTGAATTCTAAAACTCGAGGTTTCATGACATCGAATCAAAAGAATACAAAACTGATAATCATCGAGTTAATTAGCAGGATGGTGGCTGGACTTCTTGTCACTGGCCTTCTTGCTGCAATACTCGTCACTCTTGTCATACGACTGTCGACAAACAGTAACAGCTCATCACAATCACAGGTATGTAACAAACTGAACAGCACCTCTTTACTGTTTCTCTTGATAAGAAGGATTTTCACATATCTTCTTAACTGATGTATGTATAATTATTGATGGTTTATCTATAGGCTGCTGTTGCCATGCTGGTTCAATCAAATGAACACATGGCTCAACTTCAACGTGAACATGAACAACGTCTTCAGGAACAACAACAATCGACGCAATGGAATTTCACCCTAGAATTAACAAAAAGAGCAGAGCACTTCAGTGAGAAACAACGAAAGGAAGATCGTGATTGGAATCAATTAAATGCTGAACTCGATCGAAATTTCACTGTAAAACATCATCAAAAAGAGCTCGAATTTCGTGAGACTGTCGAACTTGCTGCCCAACAACGTATAGCTCAAGAAAGACAACAACATGAATGGACATTGGAACAATATCGTTCTCAACGGATCAAAGAACATCACCGGCAAGAACAATTCCGTCAGGATGAACATGATCTTGATGAATTTCTCGATGTATACAATTTAACTAGTGCACCTATACCACTGCTTCAACGAAAAGTGTTGAGTTTATTTCGTCGATTCAATATTCCACACAAAACTCTTCTCATTCAAATTCTCTACGATACAAATCTTCTTCGTGATAGCGATAGTGATTTTCCAAGGCGACGAATTAGTTTGACACGAGTCAATTTGAGTGGAATTCAACTGGGAAATAAAGATGAAAGTCAGTTAAGGAAAATATATCATAGAGTTCAGTGTAATATCTTTTACAAAAACATAAGTATAAGAAAGAGTAGTTTCAACGAACAGGTGATAGACACTGTGAAATGCTCGAGATCTTTCTCAGTTTTTTTTTCTTGAAACAGTACATTCATACTATAGAATGTGTGAAAAGGATTAACTCCCAGATTTCGTATTGATCAATATCATAGGATCATCGTATATATGCAATGGTTCTATTCAAAATGTGCGGCAATGTTCGTTGGAAAAAATACTTCGCTTTCTATTTCTATTCTAGTTGATTGTCCCACTCAATATTTTAATCAACTTGATCTTAGCTACGCCACACTAATTGGTGCGTCTTTTGATTGCTTGTCACTTCGTAATGCATCTTTCTCATCGACCAATCTGACCTATGCTTCCCTCACTCGTTCCGATCTACGTGACACCAATTTCTTTGATGCTAAACTTCGTAACACCAGTTTTCAAGAAGCCCAATTGGACAGAGGCTCATTCCTCTTCGCCTCACTTGTTGGTGCCAATTTTCGACGAGCATCACTTATTAATGCGAGCCTAATCAGCGTTGTCGCTAATGAGACTGATTTTAGCGAAGCTAAGCTTGATGAAGCTGTTTTCTTATATGTTCCATTAACTGGAGCCAATTTCGAGCGTGCCAATTTATATAAAGCGAAATTGGATAAAGCATACTTGGCACATGCTAACTTTTATCAAGCCAACGGTGATGAGAGTGGCTTTTGGTTCACTCATATAACAGATGCTAGCTTTCGACAGGCACACTTTATCCAGTCCGTTTTTCTTGGAGCCGAAGGTAATCGGACCGACTTCTCAAAGACCATTCTCGATGGCAGTAGCCTTCGTTATATCAAACTATAAGAAGCTCTTTTCGAAGATGCCAGTATGGCTAGAGTCAATCTGGAAAATACTCGATTAGTTCGCAGTAACTTTCGTGGTGCTTCACTCGGTCAATCGATGCTTTCTTATGCAACACTCAATGAGAGCGATTTCTCTAATGTAATTCTAGATGATGGCAACCTTTTTTGGTATTCGTCTTTATAACAATACCTTTGAAAATTCTAGCATGAACAGAGTCCGTCTAGACCATGGCATATTGATCGATTGCAATTTTCGTCGTGCCTCACTTATCGAAGCTAGTTTCGCACTATCTGACTTGACCGAATCCGACTTTTCCGAAAGTAATCTCAATCAATCAAAATATCTCACAGAAATTCAACTCAACCAAGCCTTCTCCATCTCCAAGGCCATTTTACCAGATGGATCGATTGGCAAGAATATAAATCTCATTCGAAACGGCAATCCAACATGTGATGGATCAATGATGATGAACATTTCTCAATGGATAGTACCTGTTCAAGGATCAATTATTATTGTGCCGCAAGTTAATGATAGCAATTGTGTCTTTCAAGCGACGACATCGAATATTACTCACATGAATCAATCGATCGATGTCAGTCGATATGTGAAACGAATGATGAATGCTGGTTTGACATATATCTTGCTCGAAGCTGATATCATCACGAGTAATATCAATATTAATCTTCGTTTCTTCAATTCGACCGACAATATCATTCATAAAGGTATTCATGACTTTGAAGTTTGATTTTGAATTCTATTACTAGTCTAAGAATTCTCTTCGTAAACAGATTTATTCAAATACTTCAATGTTCAAAGCTCATATGATAAAATCGTCTCTCAGTCTGAAATTTTCTATCATTTTCTTTTGTAATACAAAGAGCTGATTGTTCTATTATAATCAATCATCTGAAGTAATATGTTCAAATAATTGAATGAATAGTGATATTTTCAGTAAAAATTCACTTTTTCTCAGTGATCTGCATGAATTTGAGAACACATATTTTTATTTTTGTTTTCTAGTGATTGATCTTTTCAACGTGACGATGAATTCATCAATGCCTAATCATTATAGTGCTCGACATCAAATCATAGACCCGGCAACCGGTCGTGTTGAAGTTGACATTATCTTTTCTCAAGTCAAGGCCGCTGTCAACAATATTCATCTATCAGTAGAGGTTTAACTTAACTTCTATTATTTAAAATACAAATCTTTTCAAATAAAAATAGAATTTAACACTATATTCTAATCAAACAAGGAGAATAAAAGCCACACCTCGCATTTTTTTCTATTTCCATAAGCATCGCTCGACAGCTCATGTATGTGATTACATTTAGAATTCAGTATATTCTCCTTGTTCTAAACGATCACCATTTAGTTCGTTTTCACTTATGTCCCACACTGTTTTGTTGACATTTTCTGAGCCAAACCTTAACACAATAGTATTGTATGTTGCTATTGGATCAAATTCTTCGTTAGCGTTTGATACTTCTTTTATCTCTTTCATATTTCTGGACCAGAAAGGTACATGATGAAGAAGTTCCATACCAAAATGTTGACGCGAAAAAGTTCTATCCATTCTTATATTCAAAATATGATGATGCCATGCTTTGTCAACCATAGTCGATGGTTCAAACATACCATCATTGTTCTTGAGAACTGTGTAAAAGTGTTCCAATTCAATAAGCGTATTTTTAATATAATCACCACACATATGTTCTTGGATTTCCAGCCGTTCAGTAAGATAGCGAAGTTCTATGTCTGATAGTTTAATAATAGCATTATGATTAGTTGCGATGGAAGTGAGCATGAAAATTATGAACGTCCAACGCCAACTGTATCAGACTGCGTCCATTTTCAAAAAAAAAAGATACACGATCTTTTGTAAAATCTAAAACTAGATTGTATAGTTTATACTAACGATAAGAGAATATTTACGTAATCACTTAATCTAGTAAAGTGAGCTTATCTTTTGAAGCAGTTATGTTTCGAAAATGAAGCAAGTTTTAAATCAAAACAAAATTCAGTTTGACTTCGCTTTTATTCCAGAATATGCTATTTTCATCTTTTCAACATTTATAGTAAGAGATAAGAATACTTTAAAGTCGAATTGAATTTCACAGAAAAAGAAACACATCGTATTTACATAAAAACTGTCTCATTTTCCAATTTTTCAAGATTGGCTTGACAACAATTTTAACCTTTATTGTTATATGCCGAAAATTTCCATATAGGTGTTTGTTTTTTTCAAATAATGCTATTTTTATAAAACTTGCCCAACTACATCAGTATAATATATTCACGAGAGAAAAAGGTATACACCTCAATTGAACCGACATGTCCATAAAAAGAGGTTGAAGAGATCCGAAAAGTCAAAAAACTCTAAAACTTGAAATGATAAAGCAACTATTACGATTGATGCTCTACTGTGTCCTCAACATATCTATAAGTTTGCTGTTTTCTGAGCCTTCGTCACTTCTCTTGTTATATCTGCAACACTCAATACCAAATACGAGTCACGAATAACCGAAAAGTCGAAGTCTAAAAATAAATTAAAATTAAAATGAAAAAAGAAATAAGTTATAGTATGAGATAGGGAATATCTGTAAAGCGTTTGCCAGACAGACTGTTACAGAGGAATTAATCACTGTATCTAGGTTCTATAGACATTTCAGTCTATATTGTATTCTAATAATAACCTGAGAATTCACTCTTGAATCTGCACATGAATGAATCTCACCTTTTTTTTTCACTCTTACAGACTTCCTGTGTTAATGGCCTCTGATCACATTGAACACTAATAGAAGAGAATTTTGTTGCATTTTCATCTGTGGATAGCCTTGTTGTATATACACTATCATTCGTATTTTTTGATCTCTCTCTCACTGCCTTATCCATTCCTATATACCATCAATTTACCTCGTTTCTCTTTCGAATTAAACTTTTGTTTTATGCTATGAAAAGTTTATTAGTGAAAAGAAAATGTTTATTTAAGAAAAAAATTGAGTAATAGTAAAGAAACGGTGCAATATCTTTATTGCATCTTTCAGTAATCCGAATAATAAAAACATATAAATGTATCATCTGATTTGGTGAACATTTTATTACTGATGATCAGAAGTATCTGTTTATTAGAGGATCACAACTTTCACGACTGTCATCAATAGTTTTCATTCCATAGTAAATATATTGAAATCATACTATGATCAAAAATCCTATAGAGAATGCATATGTCTAACATGCATCAACCCCTGGTCCTATTCAACTATTTGCTGATGCAATTGTAAAGATTCTGAATTCGCTTATAGCTATCAACAATTACATGACTATTGAATACATAGACACAGCTTTGTGTCTTGTTCAACTATTTTCATTCATCTTGAATTTAATACGTTGCATTTAGTCTATATGGTTAATATTCATGTGGTATGTCAGTAATTTTATTAGATCCTGTATTTTTGTCAATTTTTTGGTTGTCCTTTTTCGGTTTATCTTTTTGAGTCTTGTCTGCCGAAGTTGCTGCGTTAGTCAATGACATAGCAAATATGTGTTTGTGGTGATTATTAGTTTGTACAATTGTGGCTACTCAAGCTTGTTTTTATATGCTTATTGGCAAGCAAACTAATTAGAAAATACTAAGTAGTTTCTCTCGTCTCTCTTAAAATGCATGGTACGCATATACCCACGCAACTGCTTCATCTGAGTGAAAGTAATACCTCTCTAACATCACATTAGCTCATGATGGAAAATATATTTGTTTCTTTCACAAGTGAAGCATATCCCATCGTTCTTGATGTTCTAAGGCAGTAGATACTCAAAGCAAGAGTGAAGGTAGATAATCGATAACGTTTGTCAGAAATGAAGAAAAAAGCATGGTGAATAAAAAATGTAAGATCGATATGCGTAGAAAGAAGTATCTTAACGAGTCAGAATATGTTTTTTCTAACATTTATGGTGATAAAATCGAGCAAGCGATACGAATAATAATTTACGCATATGGCTTTGAAAGACGTCCTTAAAAAATCGTTTTGTTCTATTTGTCATTGATCAATATTTTGTTATAATACAATATTAACAGATGTAAAAAAGAGAAATTCATGTGTGTTAAGACGGCTATAGTCGACTTGAACAAGAATCAGCCTTCTAAGTTTCATGCAAAATTCAATTTCGTATCGTACCCATCGAATAACTAAATTAACGAGGAAAAAAGTAAAAAAAAAAAGTAACATTAGTCCTATTTTTAATGTATTCGACATCAATGTTTTAGAAAATAGTTTTCAATTCAGCTCTGTTGCCAAATAAGGACAATTAGCGGAATAACAAGTGCAATTGAGACAACTACATGTATACTCAATAATATCAATTTTGCTTTGTTTATACTGTTGCTGTCCAATGCTTCGTTCTCGACTACTGGAGCTCCATCCTGTTGATGATCAATTTCAGATACTTCATAAGCAGTTTGGCGTGTTTCATGATGATTTATTGACAATTTTCGTGATGCTTTATCCCGATATTCGAGAAATTCGAATGTGACTACAATAATAACCACCCACGCTGTCCAAAGTGATAGAATTACAACAAAACCATTGTGATTGACAGGTAACCAATAGGTAACAATAAAAATAGTGGGAACAGAGAGAACAAAAGCCAGCACACCAACTGTTCGATGAGCCCAATTATAAATAAAACGAAATTTACCATCTGGATGACAACGAAATAGTGCCATCCAGACTTGAGTCATAGCAAAACAGACAATGAGAACACCCAATATCGAATGAGCATAAAGAAGTTGTCCATCGGAATTGATATCGACCCAGGTGCTTTGAGCTTCAACTAGAATAAGAAAGAAGCCAAGAAGTGTCGTCAGTGCAGCTAATGAGAGTGCTAGACGGTGTACTTGAAACCATATAGTCTCACCCAATAATTTTCGTCGGACACTAATATGTAATAATCGTCCGTAGCGTGCAATCAAGATGCCTGTTGGAGCAAAAATCATCCATGCAAACACCATAACAGTACCATGAGCATAAGAAAAAGTGAAATCTCCCGTAGAATTACTGGAGTCATTCGATGATGCCATGCCTTACGTTTATGTTAGCGAATAACTAGCAAAAGAAAAAATGAATCTAACCTCTTATCAATGTACTTTTATAAACACGTGTGATTTAGAACAACAAGTAGACGCCTTTTCTTTTCTTTTTTTTCCTATTCGTCCAAATCACTTTGCACGTCTCATTAATTGTGATGGTAATGTGTTTTTTTTTATTTATATTAGTTGTAAATCATGCCTGTACCTCAAGCAAACAGAAAAGTAAAAGAACGAGCGATATACGGCTGTCACGAATATTAACCAAATGTATTCCTATGATCGAGAGAATGAATCATTATTATTGTCCATCAAATACCATGGTACTACTGCAGTTTAGTCACATCCTTACCCTCACCTGCATGCTGATTGCTGCATTCAATGTACTAATCAGTGACAAGGGTGACTAAAATGCAGGAGAACCTTGTATTGTTTCAGACGTATTACAACAAGAATTCAATTTTTAGAGGTGAGATTCTGTGTGGATATAGTAAAAATCGTCCGAAAACTATTGTTCACTATTGTAAACATACTATTAATAATGGATGTGTATGTGTATCATTGTCCGTTAGCTGAACAGATAAATAACAGTGGTCGTACTGATCTTTCTTCTCGTGATAACATCTTTAACAGAAACATATCTGCAATATTGAGAATATAGTTGTCTCCATTTATACTTTTGATTTATTCAAATTTGTGAACAAACATATAAATTTTATGAAAGAAAAAGAATAATTATTATGAGTGTAAAAATCATCTTTGTTTTTTTCTTGTTGCCTTTAGTACGCAACATTTGCATATTAAAAAAACTATAAAAGCTGATGTAGTTTCAGCATTATATTAATTTTATGATTTGAGAAGGTCTGTTTTATTTCAATTCTATGACATTGTACACTAATGATAAAAGATCTGCTAAAAAAAAATCTTACTACGATATTTTTTTTTTTTTTGATTTCAGATGATTTCTCTCTAATTATTACAATGCTCATGGTCCAATATCTTGAATATCATTTATTGTATTGAAGTGAAGATTTAATATACATGAATTTAACGTTCAAATTTATTTTTCTTAGAAAAATATTACATAAATGAGTTTC